CATGGGTTGGCAGTTATATCACTCTTGTTCAGCTGTGGTGCCTCATTTCGTGAGCCAGGGAGCAGCTCTCTCAGCAAATTAGAACACAATGGATGATGAAGGGAGAAAGAGAGATTGTTGCCACAACAAAATCCATAAATGTTGTCAAAGACACCAACTGGGAGTATACTTCAACTAAAAGGAGAAAACAACACACTTGGCAAGAAAGTTTATTCTTTTACAAGAAATGGAGCACCTCAGATTTAATAACACATTTTTCAAACATCTGTTCCAGATGCAGTTAATAGAGCACCTCAGATTTAATAACACATTTTTCAAACATCTGTTCGAGATGCAGTTAATAGAGCACCTCAGATTTAATAACACATTTTTCAAACATCTGTTCGAGATGCAGTTAATAGAGCACCATTATTCACTAGACCACCCAAAATGAACTTGAAAGTGGACTGCAATAAAACATGGTGCCTTACTTCCAGCCTCAAATAATTGAACAAGGTAAGCTTGAGTTCTCTGGGTAATCCACTTCATCCATTATTTCAAACAAATTAATGAGATGCTTCATTTTGAATCATACAAATTATTACCCTACTCTAACTAATTACAAATTTCATCATGTGTTCATAGCACGCACAAATAAAACATTAACAATGCTCCCAAGATTTGACTTTCTTTTGTATATACACCTGAGTCTTGTGAAGCCATACTAACATGCAAAAATATGTAACAAAATAGGCATGCCCATAGAACTTACATCAAGTGCTGTCTAATGATACTATCATACGGAAAAGTAAAACCACATCATCTTCTTATGAAATCAATTGTAACACAAATTAACATAAATTTAGTCATGTCTTGAAGCTTAAAGACCAGTCATAAAACATCCAAAAAGGAAGACTTCAAGCCACATTACAAAGCTGTGAAACTAACACGAATGTAACATACCCAATCTACTGATAACCTGCTGCAAACTAAGTTCAGAATAGTTGATCATTTTTTCTTCTCAGCAACACCAGCAGACCTGCATCCAGAGTATTGAAAATAAGAAACCACACAAAGCCAACAAAACAACACATAAAATGTAATTACTAACTACCAGTGGAAACTATCAATTTTGACCACCAAAGTATACTGTAAAATACAGATACATCAGATAATTTTGCCTACATGAATAATCAACCTCTTAATGACGAACTGTAAAAATCACTCAAATTGAACTCTTTGATATCTAGCTTATCGCCCAAGGGTAAAAGGAGAAAGTAAACAGAAATAAAGAATATGTTTGTCTAGTTGATGCAAGGAAATCACAAATTAAATAGAAGTCAAGAAAAATATGAAGTCGTCAAGTCACAAAAATTGGCCCCATAGAATGTTGTAATCTCAATCCAGTTCCTATCACAATGTGAAAATAATACAATAGATCTAATCATAGCATCCCCGGTCACTGCATATATGCACTACCGGGGACATGGCATCAGACCAATTAATCAATTAATAGTTCAAAATAAACAATTCAAAATATATAATGAAAAGTCCTATCCATAAAATAAATACATAAGTAACAAGGTCAAGCTCTTTTCCATTTATAAGTAACAGTAATACTCTTCATATAATCCATCAAACGAAACACAGGTCTAAGATAATACAATGTTTGAAAGCAATTACATTCCAAAAAAAATTCAAATCAGCTACGTGAGCACCGTAGTTATGAAAAGTACAAAATAGAAAAGAATCAGGAGTTATTATTCTGTACAAAGGCAATAAGATTTCACATTACAGAATCAAATAAGATCACAATAAGCAACATAATGACTAGTCATAATCAGGAGTTATCATTCTGTATAAAGGCAATAAGATTTCACATTGCAGAATCAAATAAGATCACAATAAGCAACATAATGACTAGTAGTCTTAATGAGGAAACGCCTATCAACTATTAAGTGTCAAGTCCAGAAAAAAGTCTTCTACCCCAGTCTCATTTTTGCTTCCTTTCTATTCAGTAGACTGGTCCTGGTTTTTTCTCCCACCCCTTCCTGAACAATCTATCCACACCATGTCCCACAGTAGGTTGATCAAACTCCCTTAAAATTAAATTTTGCAGGGTTGAAGAATTTGTGATCCAGGTGAAAACATTACAATTTGATTGATACCAAAAATTTCAAAATCTAAGTTTCAGTTATCAACTATATTCGAGAATGACAGTGTTCTATGGCAGTTATCTCCAGACTCTTCTTTTTCAGTCAGAACGTTTAACAAGGAAATAGTGAAAACTAGAATGCTTGGTGGGAATCGTGTTCAATTCCTAAAGAGTGGTTTGAAGAGCTGATGCTTCTTTAAGATCAAAGTCTTCATGTGGAGTGTGGTGTTAAAACAAAATACCTACAGCTGATCATCTCTTCAACAAGAGTTCAATCTCTGCCCTTTCAATAACTCTGCAACTGTTGAGCAAGTCCTGCTCTCTTGGAAGCTCCTTAAGGTCCCTTAAGGGGTCTGGTCTGAGTAAAAATGTATGGATCTCATCACCTACGCTATTATA